CCTCTACAAAAAACCTAATCTGACCCGGTTTCTTTGAGTACACGAAGTTCCCCCTCACCTTTTAGTCAGAAACCTAGACTGCTGAAACTTTGAAACCCCAGCCCCTGGCACAGTGACCGGCAGGTGATTATTGAGACTTATTTTGTGTTACTGTATAAACAAGTGAATGAATGGAAATTTCTTAAGTGTGCCTTCAAGTCTCTCAAGGCTGTCCTTAAACTGGCACACAAACCCTGAGCTAAAAATATGAGGTCACCTAAAGCAAATGTGAAGTGATGAAGTGTGAGAAGAAGCCTAAGTAAGAACTTCTAGTTTTCCGTTCCTGACTCACTTTCCTGTTTTATCACCTCAAATCCTGTATCACCATCCACTGGGAAAAAGTCAGAGTGAGGGCTGGACCTGCCACCCAGCCTAGGGTGCTTGAGGTGTGGAGGGAAGTCAAAAGGGAGAGGCCACTGGAGCCAACACTAGGGCTGCCTGTGGCACTAATGCCAGGAAAGGAGAGCTTCTTCCCCTATCCTGCTCAGGAGAGTAGGGGAGTGGCTAGTCCCATTCACAAGCTATTTAGACATTTAAAGAAGTTCTCCAGAAGATTTTGAATAAACAGAGGGTGACAGGCTGGGGATTTAGCTCAGTGGTTTTGCTGCCTGCTGCGTAAGCACAGGACCCAAGTTTGATCCCTAGTGCCAAATCAATCAATCAATCAATAAATGAATAAATATAAAAAAAAGAGGTTGACATCATGGACCAAAAACATAGTTCTCACCTCATTCACAATTTTTGTATTTTTGAATGAGTACTAAAGTTTTTTTTTAGTACTAAAATTTTATGTCACTTAATTTGATTATTTTACCCTGTGAAGAAATGACTTTGAGAATGATCCTGCCAGTTGAAAACAGCAAATTATGTTATAAAAGATACAGGATCTTTATATTATGTACATGGTATGATCAAAATCCACACTGAATGTTTACACTTTTAAAAGTTACAGTAAGAGACACAGTGCCATTAATACCCCTCCAACACCCACCTCCAGTTTTAAACACATCCCATCATTCTTGCCACTTTCTGAAGCAGTTCTGGACATCCTCTTTTGTGTCTTTATGAGATGTGATGAAAAAAAATATAGTGAATGCTGCTGCCAAGTGCCGTCTAATGGAAAGGCAGGCTTATAAAAACATGGTTTGTCCTCATTTATCTAATTCACAGGATCTGGCACTGTGTGACTTCTGGCTGCTCTCCAAAATCAAACTGACCATGAAAGGTAAATGCTTAGAATCAATTCAGGGCATTGAGGCAGCCATGACAGGGCAACTAAAGATACTTATGAAAGAGGACCTCCAGAACTGCTTCAGAAAGTGGCAAGAATGATGGGATAAGTGTTGCCTCAAGCAAGGGGACAGTATTTTGAGGGAGAGCAGTGGCAATGGTCTTTTACTATAATAAATTTTTAAAACTCAAACATTTACCGTATTTTCAACCACATATTGTATAGTTGATATATATTTGTGACATGCTATACATGTGTGAACATTGGAAGAAGGTAAAGACTGGGATCATATGTGATTACAAATGTATATATGTGTGTATACTTATATGCTATTTTAATGCTTAAATATGGTATATTTTTTATAAGATGCTATAGTTCAAATTCTACTGTGGACTATCATTCTCTAAGGACATGAAGGCAGGCTTCCAATAAAATCTACACTTCGATTTAAGAACCTTTTTTTCTGAGGGGGCACAGCATCGATTTTAAGTACCGCTAAGTTTCATTAAAACTGGGGGACTAATTTTTAGTGGCTTAATGTTCAAAAGGTCAACTGCTAGTACAAAGGTAATGTGGCCCCAAGACTGTTGAGGTGTGAGACTGATTTAAAAACAATTTTAAATTGAAAATTTATTAAAGAATATAGACACACATTACATACATCTCAGCAGCCTGAGAATAATCTTGTGCTATCGAGAAGTAAGAGTACAGACTGAAATTAAATTAAAAATAAAAGAACAGTGGTTTCATCTTGTTAAAGTGCATTATTCTCTAATTCTGTGAAAATCCCATGACTAGTTTGAAGTTTTCATGGTTTTTTTCTGTGTTTCATTTTTTAAAGCAACACATCATTCAGGACTCATATATTTTTTGGTGGAAAGTTTTCCATCAACCATATTTTACTATGTCAGTTATCTTCTTATCAAAGATATTTTCCACATTAGTTGTCAAATTTTTACTGTGTGTCGGTACAAACTTTTCCCTTTTCACTAGACCCTGAGGTACAAGGTCTGTTATTGTTTTAGAAGTTTGAGCATCTCTCTATAAAAATTTTCAGAGAAAGAAATAATTTCCTTAATGTCACTATATTACCTATATAATGAATCTTAATTTAAAACTAATCTCAGTATCAGACCCTAGTGTCTTTTAGTTCTCAGCAAAATGAGATAAAAATTTACCTTTGACTTTTATAAAAAAATAAAATCGATCATTTAATCTTCTAATCTAATTGTTTATTGAAGCTTCATCTAGAACAATTTCACTTTTTCTGTACAGCTATTCCTGAGATCTCTATTCTCAACTTCTTCCTTAAATTTTGGAAAAGTGATTTAGGAAAAAAAAAAAAGAAAAGAAAAAGTCCTCCCTAGATTATTTAAACTTTTCTATTCTTACTCATTCTTATTTTCCAAAGACAAATCTAATGATGAAAAACAATTTAGTTTAAAATACTGTGTCTAAAGTTTAGAATTCTGTCATATCTTGTATTTAGCATACAATTTTGGAGGTGGTGGGAATGATACAGAATAGTTCCTAGGATTTTCTACTGCTGAAATAACACTAAATCTCTTCCCACCCATCTCTTAAATCCCTCAGTATTTCTGGTCTTGCACAACAACATATCTGTGGGCTTATACGTCTTCTTACAAATAACAGCCTTACTTTGCAAAGCACTTAGGAAACGTTCAGCCACTTGTGTTCATGCATTAGTGCATTTTCCAAGCTATTTTAGTCAGACTGAGTAAATCAGAGAAATCTCTTACCTCTGGAAGGATTTAAGACAATGCACATCACCAATAAAGCGAGCAGAGCAGAGGTAGCGATTCCAAATACAATTTTTAACCATGTCTACATAAAATAAAGAAAATTAGGCATTTTATAGTTCCTGCTAAACAGTAGAAATGGCAAGATTTTGGTTAGAATTAACTCCTGTTTCTCCTTCTCACAAAGCTTTTAATTGTCTTCCACTGATCTGGTAATAATTGCTGGAATTCTTCCAGCTCTGCCAGTATAAATGTCTACAGTATTTTTAGAACAATTCCTCAATCCTAACCCATTCCAGGAAGTAAATACCATGTACAAATCTTCACCTTCTAACAACAGAAACCTTGGCTTATAGTCAATCCAGCCAACTTTCATCCTCTAGCAATACCTGAGGCTCTATTTACTAACCTTCATTTTTCCAGATGTTTTTGAAAGTTAGCTAATTCTTACTGCAGAGCGTGGGTCACTGGATCTTCGAAAACCGTTGAAAAGCAGCAAGTCTGTCTTCATTGGAAGCTGAAGTCAGAACTAGAGTTTTTTCTTTTCACGGACTTTTGAATACCGTGCCAAATTTCAAAAGATTTCTGTAAAATTAGAAACAGATTTTGGGGGTGTTCTTGGCCTTGAAATGAACTATGTGTGGCTCAGGGGAAGTTTCATAGCCTTCTCATCCTTGTGAATTCTACACCAACATCTGTTTACATTGACATACGGAGGTTTTTGATCATTTTTGTTTTGTTTTCTTTTTTTTTTCTTTACAGTTAAGTTTATGTTTCATTTTCTTCTAGAAATCACTCATGGAAAACTTGGGTAAGTCATTAAGTTTTGTTTAACCTTTCTATTTTGCAACTGAAAGATGAATTGAAAATAATAAAGATTCCTGATGTGCACATTATACATTTATCAAAATTTTAGAAAAAGAAGAACATTGAAGTCACACACAATTTTGTGAGAAGTACACCACATAATTGCACTTTTCTTCCCCTGAGAGATTATGAGGTACTGTAGATAGAAATGTTTTTCTTGCAGCGCAATTTCTTTGTCCATATAGCACCATATGCACTTTCAGTAAATACAGAAGTTTAAAAATTCAACTGTCTAAATCCACGCCTGCTTTACTTTAAAGAAATAAAATGCCATCTGGTGAAATTTAGTATGGGTTAGGTGTGTTTGCACAGGCTAGAAAGATGGAAAGATCAGTAAGAATAATTTACCAGCAGACCTTTGGAAGAATGGAAATGGCTCCGCAAGAGTGATATTTCTGCTCTCCTCTCAGAATATCTTCTGAGAAAGAAGAACATTTAGTAATTATAAAGACTTTAAAAATGAATAAAAAAGCATCTGAATATAGCAGTCTGATGTACAAATTCATCTTGGCAAAGTCTACTTAATTACAAAGCAATTGGTCAACTTGACAGATCAGAAAAATGGTTGACTGAATTAAAAAACGCACATGTACAACGGTTTCTTGGAACATTCTGCTGGTCCAATGTAATTCACTTGGACAGCTTCTCTGATTTCCCACCAATACCATTGTTAATCTACTGTCTTTGGTTTTTCTGCTAATGGGTTTCTTCTTTGGAAGTTTATAATTTTAATCTGACTAAAACGAACTTCATGGTGACATTTCATGGCTTGTCCATGAAAGGTAATGAAGAAATGTGGCTGAAATCTGTTGCTAGTTTGCTTTAGTCAATTGGACTGGCTAACATGGGAAGCTTTTTCCAGCAAAAATCAGGACAGTGGATTAAGAATTTCCTTTCAGACATTCTCCAGACATCCCTCCCTAAATCCCAGCCTCATGAAAATTCTGTTGAGGAAAATGAGTCATTAAATACTTACTGGCAGAGAAATGTATCCACAGCAGCTCCTGGGTAAGTCCCACTAGTTTGCAGTTGGTGGGGCTTCTTTATAAACTGAAGCAATCATTGAGTACAATGTACACAGTATGCAGTACACTTATAGAAATCTCCATGTGATGGTGAAGATAGAATCAAGATAACAGCCACCAAGCAGGTCCCAAATGAACTGCTCCTGTGTGTGTCCTCTCAGACCGATTGCCTTGTTTAGAATGTTCAGAAGGTATTCTCAGAAGTTCTGTCCCAGCCTGCCAGAGACCCAAAGTCTACAAGTACTTTTTAATGAGTGATTTCCAGTTCTGGAGAGAAACTGACTGCGATAAATGCTTCCGGAGAGAAACAATTTATTAGTGTATAATTAAAATGCATGCTTTTAGCTTTAGCAATTAAAAATGCATTGACATGTGACTGGCCTGAGTGCCACTTAGCATTCTACAGGTGAATGTGGGCGTCCACAAGAGACTGGTTTGACAAGCTTTATGGAGAAACTGGGGTTCTTTAAGAGGGATGCATTTAAGTCAATACTATTAATAAGGGGGAAATTATGAGGACAAAACATGTTTATTTTTGTTTTCTTTCTTCTTTGGGAGGTTGGGTGACTCAAACTAACTTCTGGAAAAATTCTTTCTGATTTGAACTGTTTTAGGAAAAACAAGACCAAATAGAGAAAGACATCATGAGCTCTTCCATCTGATTTCACGAGTTAGGGATGCATTGTTTACAATGGAGCTTCACACTCATACGTCCATCCCTTTGAGATAATGAGTATGTATTCTAGTTTGGAGCCACAAAAAGATGCAAAAATTTAGATGTTTTTAAATAGTTTCACACCTTTATTGGTTTTTCTCCTTTTAGAGTCAAAATGAAAATGCTTTTGCTAATTTTTTTTTTACTGGAAACTGACTCCTTTTCTTATGTAGGTAACATCCAATCAACATTTTTGTTGGGAAAATAAAAATGAAATAAACAGTTTGTATCCTGAAGAACATTCTTGTACAAGTATGATAGGTAATTGGGTAATTGTTGACATATTTGCTTTTATTTGTTTCCTGGAGCGATTGCTGAGAGTGACCCTCAGGCTGGGAAAGAATGGCCTGATTGGTTGGTGATTTCTGCATAGACCTGGAAGAAAGGACAGAAAAAGCATATAACACATGGCTGTGACAAGGCTAACAATTGCCAGATGGAAACTTTTATTGAAAATAATTCCAATCTATTCAAATTCTACAAAAACAAAAAGGATAACTTTGACCTGTAAAATTTTAACAGCAAAAATTAACATATAGTGGCTGATCAAATGAATTATTTCCAGACAGGGAATTTATGGGGCTTAATTTGCAATATGATGACATTTTGGTAAGCAAATTGGGTAGGTGACCTGTAACATAAATCTTTAGGTTATGAAGACAGCTTGGTAGAACTATTTACTAATAGCCATTGTATGTTGGCTAAAAATGATTTTGATACATATTTCCCTAGGAGACACAGTACTAGAGCTTATATGTTCCTAGAGTGTAAAGGTAAAAATTGTGCTGAGAGCATAAATAAGGATGTTATCTTCATTTTGGGATAGAAAGTAAAGAACGAAGGATGCTGTCTTAGTCACTTTACCATCACTGGGCACAATTCCTGAGACCCACAATTTAAAGGGGAAACATTTTGGCTCACACTTTCAGTGGATGGTTGCCAGGGTCCAAGGCAGAAAGGGTGTGGTAGATGAAAAGATGCTCAAGTCATGATGGCCAGGAAGCAGAGAGAGAGAGAGTAGGGGATGGGTAGGGAGATGTGCCCTTCTTGGTCATACCATCAGTGACCTGCATCTTCCATCTATGTATCTCCTAAGAGCCCATTTATCTTTGAACTCGATGGACTAATCCACTGATGCATATAGCTCCCCCATGACCCATTCACCTTCTGAAAGCTCCATTTCTGAACACATGAGCCTTCTGAGGGACATTCTAGATCCAAACCATAATAGATCCATTTATTAACCAAAATCTGTAGCAAATTTTTAAAGAACAAGGTATAAATAAGGACAATGAGGATACAATTAGAATAAAGCCTTGATTTATATTCTTTAAAGGGATAATTTGCTCCAAAAAACTTAAACACGGAAAAGCTTGACCATTTGATTTCTCAGATTCAGGAAATATTTCTTTTCACTGTTATATATAAAAATGCTTTAATGCATTATTTTATTTAACCCATACCTAAACTTGTTTTACTGATTGGAAAAAAGAACCCAGAAAAATTTGATAACTTGCCCAAGATTCTAACAGGACCCATGGGTAACATATTATATTTCTTCTCTGTGATATTTTTTAAAGTTGGTTTTATAAACATAAAGACTTATTTTTTAAAAAGGTTAAATTGGTGTCTCAGTTATTCTAATGAAAGACACCTTAAGGTAGTTATGGTTGAATCATCAGAGTATAATCCTCACATCCTCATTGTATATTATTTATGAATATCTCAAAACAGTAGTCTTACTCTACAAGGACTGTGTCCAAAATATTAAATTGGTTACAGTTTTATTAGGATAGAGTCTAGTAGTCAGAGAAATATTTATATAGTCCCTAGATTTAAGGAGTCTTCTATCAAGGACATGTTTGAATTAAAAGATTTATCAGAACATTCATCATCAAAGAGATTTCTGAGATCCAAACTAGAGAAAGTCCTGAGGTCTTTAAAGGTCCTAATATGCAACAGTTAGAGACCTGGGAGGAGTGGAAGAACATATAACAATGAGAAATGATGTATTTTAACTATGTGAGACTGAACTTTGGGCCTTTGCCCTGATCTACATCCTCAGCCATTTAAATAAAAACATTTTTTTGAGATATGGTCTTTTTCAGTTAAACTACTTTTTGAATTTGATGTCATTTCTAAAACCACAATTGTTGCATAAAGAAGACTATGACACAACAAGCTTCCCCATTTGTAATCGGGGCTTACTATCTTAATAAATACCATAATTAGATGTCAATGCTTCATTATTCTATTACACTTATAACAAGTTCTCCTTGAGGCAGAGAGTTAACTATAAAGTTGGATTAGAAAAGAAACAAAGAAATAACATGCTACTTTGAGCACTGTGGACACAAAGACTCAGAAGTAAATCAGTGTTTCAATATAATGTCTTTTCCTTTTTTTTTTAACCTATTCCCCAAGGTCCTTTTGTAAAAGGGACTTAAAAGTGTATTTCAGCAAAATGAGGAAATAAAGCATTGGAGTTTTCACTCAGAGCGAAATGAAAAAGTCAGATGGCAACAACATTGTGTGATCTCCTTTCTCTATCCACTTCTGAAATTATATCTATTTTTAAAGTAATTTTTCCTAAGTTTGGCCTGTATTTCATATCATATGTACTCAAAAGAGCTCCATGAGTTCATCATACATTTGAAGGTACTTGATGGAGTACAAAAGTAGCATGAGAATTGGAAGTGTAGTAATCCCATCAAACTGTTTAGCTCAAAAGCAAAGCTTCAATATTCGTAAAAAATTATCCTGTCAGAGTTCATAAAGGACTAATCACCAAAGACTTTTTTATAGTCAGAGAAATTGTCAAGCTTAAAAGTATTAAAGTAAATGTGTATTTAACAAAAGTTGGACTGTAAGAGAGTGAAGAAAAGTCAGCAGAAGCAGGAAAGTTCATGACCTGATGTCCCACAGCAGAGAGTCAAGGGTTGTCACTTGTGAAGAACAGAATAAGAATCAGAGATATACAAACCAGTATCTGCTACATCATCTCCAGCTGGTGTTGAGGACACATTATAGGAGGATAACTGTTTGCATTAGTAGAAATATAAAAGTCATATGAGTTTTCTGTATTTTCAGATGTTCATAAAATAAGTCTACAAATTCATATAATAGGTAGTTTTATTGTTAAGTAGTCTTAATACTGGGTAAAATTTATGTTTGCCTTCTTTTCTTTCTTTTGAAACATTTGTTCCACAGTGCAATGGAAAAACTAGTAAAAGACAAAAGAAAACAGTTAATTCAGGAAAATATGCACATTTAGAAAAATTAAAAATACAAAAAATTTCTTATTACTAGAAATGAAGAAATGCAAAATATAATGCCAGAATAGAGTATTTTTTTATTTGACAGTGTAGCAGAGATTAAACTTTCTAAGGATCCCAATGATGGCAAGGAGAATAGCACTGTGTGAGAAGAAAGACTAAAAGCTTTCTGGGGCACAATTTAGAAATAAATATCAAACTATTTATATGGTTTGGTACAGCGACTATCTCAAGGAATGTACTTTAAAGATAATATTAGATAAGTGTAGAAAGATAAAAAGAGAAGAATATTTGTTGACACTTATTTTGCAATATCCATAAATGAAAATTATTTAAAAGTTCATCCAGAAGGAATTGCATAGATAAATTATGGAACATATGAAAATGAATGATGCATGTTTAAATTGTGTTGACATGGAAAACATCTAAAATCTCTTGCTTGGTATATATTATAGGAGTCAATTTTTGTGCAAGGGAATAGGGAAATACTTATGTAGATGTATGCATCATAGAAACTGTGCAAGAAAATACCTCAGAGCCATGGATTCTAAGTGAGTGTAGTAAATGTAGCCTCTCCTGGAAGCAGATAGAAAAGGACTGCATTGTCTACAGCATAGTTACAAACAGTAACAAATCCCATTAAACATTTACCTGTTTTTTTCACGCTCAGCAATTATACAGTTTTAGTGATAAAAATGCTACTTACTCATGAAGCACACCACTCCATTTCCCCTCACACCCCATTCTAGGTATGCTCTCTCATTAAAGGTCAAACAGTGGTATTCCTGTGAGAAGATAAAATTAGATCAGAGAGCCAGCAGATCACAAAAATGATACAAAAGCACACAGTACTGTGGAAATAAAATATTCTTATGTGTTTTATGCATGCTTACCTTGACACAGCACTGGCCTCCTATGTAAAACATGCCACAGGCCAAGCATAAGAATTTATAATCCTGGCCTGCTATTGTTCTGCATTCCTTCATTCTACCTGTCCTTTAATTTTTGGTCCCAGGTTCACCAGGACAGCCTCTGGGAACTCCATTCACCAACCTGCCAGCCCATGCTTTAAAGTCAGCCATTTTTCTTTATGAACTTCCATGATTTTTTTTCTTATTCCCATGGCACTTCTAAATTTTGTAAGAATAACTAAAAAATGCTACGATTTAATCTAAAG